CAACACATGTTTGAAAATATGCCTTATACTCTGGCCAGGGATGTGATCCATCAAACGTTTGTGTGGGTTTTATCCTTGTATTTTTCCCTGTGTTTGACGATTCGACTGCTTTTCCGCAAATTTCGATAGCTTTCTGAGCCATTTGCAGAACTGAATCCCTGGCCGAAGTATCAGAAGAGATGGAAGCTTCTTTATCCCTGCTCTCTTCGCTGTCAGATGCATCTGAGTCACGGTCTTGATTTTGTCTTGGTCAGCTATATTTGTCTTGTTATCAATACTGTGGGATGGTTGCTCCAGGTGTGGGTTCCCCATCATTAAGTGGTGATCAACCCCCTCATCTGGATGCCACTTCTGTTTCAACTCAGGCGTGTACCTGGGCTGAGGACTTTCTTTCACCACTGTTTTCTCTGCTCTTCTACTCAAAGAAGTAAGTTTCGGCACAACACCACTGGACTCTTCGCTATCCTCAATATAGGAAGACAATGGATCGGAATCCCTCTGCATTCCTTTCACAGGGCCATTACTCCCCCCTTCCAGATGTGACTTATCCTCCGCCGGATGAGCTTGATATCTCATTCCAGGAGGAGACAGTGGAGGCTCTCCATATGTGGTCCTTTTCTCCCAAGTGGAGCGTACTGGGTCATCTTGCTGACAGGCAGTTTCCTGTTTCTGCTTTACCCGTGTCTCACGAACCAAATATGGAGACAGCCAACCTCCCGACTCCCCAGGGACTGGTTCAAACATCATTGGTGTGTCTTCTCTTGGAAAGTTATCTTCCAACTGCACCTGCCCACACTCACGGGGACTTATTCCTCTGTATCTTGAATGGGACTTAAGTTGGTGCTCTGTGATGGGATCCTGGTATACCTGCCACTCCTGTGCCATTGGGTTAACACTGCTCCCCCGAATATGTTTCCTCTTTATCTCCTCTGGTGGGGATCTTGACTGCTCTATAGTTTGAGCAATGGATTGTAGGGCTCCATGAACTGAACTGAGTCCAAGGGAGAGATCCTTTTGAAACGTGCCAAGGCTTTGGCTCAAGTCTCCCCTTAACTTCTGTTGCTCCCTCCTCAGTTCATGTACACATTCTCCCTGCTCTTTCACACTGCTCGTCAGCAAAGTTGTTTGGAGCTGCTGTGACAACAGTTTTTCAAAGTAGACATAATGCGAAAGCACCTCAAGAAATTTCAGATATGTAGCTTAAGTGGGTCAAATATAATGAGCGTTTCAACATTTGCTCTAAATTTCGTCCATTCCTTTGCAGACACACATGAATTCTACACAAACATGCCATCCAGGTTTTGTAACATACTAATGATTTTAGGTTGTACTTTCAGGGCGGAAATGAAGTCCATTCAATTAAATTCAAAATAATACGTAGTTGTCATTGATAAAATCAGTATAACTTATTTTCAAAATTATGTTCCAAAAGGTGAGTGTCATTTTTGTGTAAGATCCATCCAGCAAAGGAATAGACGAAACATTTTGTAACGCTAATAAATGTGCATCAAGGTGAGCTAGTCATCATTTTTGTGTAGTTTCAAAATGGATTGTAGTGTTAATGTGCAAAACGACAAGTCAGAATTTCTTCAGACAAAAAGGTTATGAACCATTATGTGGGAATGTGTCATTTATTTGTGTCACGCGGTATTTTTGGCCAATCAGAACACAGTATAACATAAAAATACTGAGTTTACACTCTAGTTACAGCAAGGGCGAACGTCATACCCGGAACGTTCGCCAATTGGCGTTTGGTTTTTAACCTCATCCGATTTGAATTAGCCAATTAAACATAGGCAGTGTGAGAACTTAAATTATTTATTGACGATGTGTCTTACCCGGGTTCTTACCCCCCTTTGGACATAAAGTCCAGAGCTGAATATGTCAGCACATGTTGATGATTGGTAAGTAAAAACAATCTATCCTTATACAGGGTGGTAAAAAAATGGAAACCCTGTCGCCATTTTCCTCATATCTTTGTCATTTTAGGAAATTACTTCCTGATATTTAGCACATTTGTACATCATTCAATTTCCTACCAGCCTTCCATATTTCATGACCATCAAATTGAAAGTCACAATATTACAGCACTTTAAACAACATGCTCCATTGGCCAATATTGCACTTTCGGCAAACCTGCACCTATCATCCAAAATGTCCCTACGTAACTTCAACCTGTGGTGATACACCAAAAAAGAGTGTACGAGAATAACCCCAGGACAACTGCAGACCTCAAAAAGCAGATCATCTATGTCATTCAGGCCATACCTGCTGAAAAATGTAGTCAGATCATTGACAACCTGTTCAGATTTGCCAATAGCGCGATGGTGGCCACATTGGGGCATCTTGTTCAAAGTGCTGTACCATTGTGACTATCAATCTGATGGTCATGAAATATTGTTAGCTGGTAGGCAATTGAATGAAAAAGAATGCTTTGCTGACGTTGTGATATTGAATAATTATATTGAGTTGAAAGATAGTTATCCATCATAATTATAAAAGTCAAGAATATACCAGTGACATTGAAATACAGTTTGTTTGACCTTTTCAGCGTCGGATACGAATTAAGAAGTGTTATTAGTTGTTTGAATGAATGAACTCCGAAATATTTTGATGAATTGATACCTGTCCATTAAACAAAACATTTCACATCTACACTAAAAACAGTTGAGACGTTGTTTGTCGAGTCAAACAACCATTCCAAGAGCATTATTTACTGTCATTGAAATATAGAATCTGAATGATTCACCTAGAAGCGACAAAGGCCGTTCAAGGAGACCATCGCCCTAATTTTGTCAATAGATCTAGTGCATTATATGGCTTGACATTGAATATCAGATTTTCACATGATTTTTTATTTTGAATTATTTGGAACAAGGTGCCATTCAGTTCCACACTCAAAATTGTGGTGTTTGTTATTTTTTGATTACCATCAATTCGAGTGTTTGATTTGATAATAAAATGACATACTAATATTAAAATACATCTCAAATTGATTAAAATAAGAATTTAAAAAGAAATGGGAGTAAAAAGAGTCAAATTGCAATATCACGCTTAGATTACTTTGGTGATTAAAGGCTTTATTAGTAGTTATTACATCTTATGAATTGACTTAATGTGGTACTTGTCCTAAGGGTTTGCCTTACAGTTGGCCTGCTTTGTGAAATAATTCAACTTGAAATTCTGCCATAAAAAGTGTCCAAAAACAACAAAATCCTCTCTATTAATACTTTGAAGTCATTCTCTCTGATTGACATTGCATGTTTCCTCTTTCATTCCATGATTAAATAAGTGCCCCAAACTGTATCATTTCAAGACCTGTCTAACCCGTCTCGCCCCCAAAGAAAAAATGTTAAATGTGTCAATCATTCGTGAATTCAATTGCATCCCCTTTCAAACTTATAATCTTTTGAATATGATATACGTTAAGTCAATATTAGCCCATTTCTATTCATCGAGCATGCGCATCTACGTGTTCTTCCTCGCTACACGAGGAGCACTACCGTAACAAAATGGATGAACTTCCGAACAGGAAGATTTTGGTAATATGTTTGACTCCTTCGATTCTCAACTGGAGTTGATATTTTTGTATATATAATTATATATATAATATTATATTTATAGATGTATATATTGATCATATTTCAAGTGGCCAAACTGTGTATAATTACCTTGGTTCAGAACACTAAATTTTTGTTTCACATTATAAAAGGGCCGATCAAAAAGTTTCTTAGATATTATATTATTATTATAAAGTCAGGTTCCTATGAGCTCAAAGTATATATATTAAGTAAAGCAACGGATATCGGACCTCTTCAGAATATCTATTGAGTAAGCTCAAAATAACTTTTGATATAGATCACTTGTTGTTCAAAAAGCGATATTTCTAGTCTTACAATATTCACTGGTCATGATGCTAATTGAGTAATTGAGATGCAATTCTTCTGATACGCTACATTTCATTGACTTCGCTAAGCATCGTTCGTTTAGCCCGGAAAAATTAGCGATGCGAGAGATCTGCCATTTGACGTATCAAAACGTCATGGAGATTTTGCAATGTTTTTCACACCCTAAACGCGAACGGAAAATATTTAAGCGATGCATTTATATGGGCGATTGGTCATACGTATAGGTTGGCGTTTCGATTTTATATGCAAGCTTAAACTTCCCACTTTCAGAAGTAAACGAGGTCACTTTGTATTGTTCATTTGTACAGAATATCAGATCTTCGAGTGACATCATTTTTATTGACGATTTCATATCAAATATCAACACGAATGAACGAAGCAAATAAGTGTTGATGTTTGATATCTACGAGGCGATAAAATGATATCACAAGAAATGATCTGATATTGGGTTTGTTTATCACATTATTACAATCAATAATTAAAAAGCGGAAGTAAGAAAATTAACGTTTCAAAGTTTAGGTCTTGGCTTGATTTGTAAAAGTTTACTCTTAAGTTATTAATATTAAATACACTTTCACTCTGCAATGTGTTATATTAAAAAGAAAACTATAACACTCTCTTTTACCTTGTATTAAACCCCATTCAACAAGTGGACTATCTAGGCATTGTTGTAATATATTGGATTATCATTATTGTATTGTGCGAGAAGCCTATATACTAAACACATGCCATTCTCCCAGCACAGAAACACAAAATGGCATTGGCATGAAGAACTCATCTATTAATTTTACGCGCAACTAAAGAACGTGTCATAAAAACGCTCAAATAACATGCACCTTTGAAGAACGTCCGTATTGAGCACTTTTGAACTCACCTCAATCACTTACTCAATGGAAAATTAAAACATTTTTTATCTAAATTGGCAAACATTTGATAGTAAACCTGGAGCAGTATTGGGTTAATAAGTTAAAACATTTATTCTATTATGTTGGAATATAATTTACTTTATAAAAGTGGATTACATCGAATATTGATAATTGAATGTAGTGGATATAATACCATAGTTATGTAGTTTTTCTCATTTGTAAATAGGAACCGAAGAGAAAGATCTTCACCTGGAAATCGATGGCGTCAAGTTCAACAAATTTCGGTTACTCAGATCCGGACGGGAAATTACAAAGTACAACGAGATCCTCTCCACACACATCAAGAAGATCGGGAGAATCTGAAACTGACATGGAAAGACAATCCCGGTCGAGTGCTGCTTTATACTATAGGGACGCCAAAAAGGATTCCTGTAGTACTACAAGAGGATGCATGTTTATAATTGGATGTCTCTTAGCGTTTGTTTTAATAGGCCTTATCATTGCAGTTATCATTTTAGCTTTACAAGCTAGTAAGTACAATTTTCAGTATTATTTAATCAAAACTTGTAATATGATTGGTTCACAGGTGGATAATAATGTTATGACGTGCATGCTACATTCACATTTACTAGCAAAAGGTTGAAAAAGATTGATTAAAATAATCGCTAAAATTCTAATACTTTTCCTCTTCACCCTGTTTTGACAAGTTCCTCATCGATTAAGATAATATAAATTGAAGATCAACTTACGCCTCGTGTTTTTGATTCTTATCATTGTATAACTTATGTTGCACAATGTCTATAGAAGGCAATATACCAAATCAAAATGTTGCAAATCTTGCAAGGCAATGAACAATACTCGATTTCAAAGTATGAAACATTGGTGTAGGTGGCAATTTGATTTGGTAAATGGAGTTCTGCGAACATGAATCAATGTTCAGACAGCGAACCTTCTAACAAACTTTGTACAAGTAGTATCTCAGTTTTGAATGTGAATTACACACACCCGGTGTCATTGTCTTGTCATTTGTAATGTACATTCCTCATACAAGTAGTATACTTGTAATATCTCAAAATCCTTAAACTTTTTGAGTAAATATATCTCTTTCCGGATCGCATGGCTTGACTAAACCGCGTGACCTTTTGCCACCGTAGTGTTAAACACGTTTATTTTTCCTTTGTCTGTCAGTGTGTATCGGATGTGTCACTCGTGCCTGTACATCATTTTTCAATACTAGACATGGCACATCACACACATTACTGGTCCCCATCAGTCACAATACAATGGATTTCTTTATTGTATATTGTACATGCTACCCCACATTCGACAATGTTTGAAATCGCAATTCATAAACTTTGAATTATAAAACCATTTCAGTCATAAAGTGCTCTACCAGGGAATTGATATTAATTATATTTCACGCTTGATGAACATTGGTTTAGTCCAAGTTGTATACAAATGATTTATATAAAATCGATAACCACATTGTAGGTTTATCTTCCTTTTCCGTCGTGGCTTAATATAGATATAGATAACAACAGTGGTTCACATATTTATGTACTGCATTATCCCTAGGAACGATATGCTTTCAATCAACATCTGATTAGCCCATTACATTGTATTTATAAGCACGACATGAAACATGAATGCCGTTTTTTCTGATGATGATGCATACAAGAACAAATAACGTTAAACTGACCTGTTGTATATTCTAATATATTTATATTGATTTGCGTGACTGAAGTACAAGCTACCTGTCAATACATAACGAATGTAGATAATATGCATGTAAAATACTGCCTGACAATTTTCATTCAGTTCACGATTCCGATGGTAATTCACTCTTAGAGCCTTAAAGTCGCAACTCTTTAATGTCCAAGTTTATTTCCCATCTACTTCTAATTTCGGTATACGGTTATCGCCCATTAATTTGCGTTTAATTCATTTCGACTTGAGCAACAATGAGCAAAATCCAAGTTCGTAAAAATGGAAAATTATCGATCATATATAAAAGTATAAATATCGAGCAAAAAATGAAGAATAAAACGATAGTTCCCGATGTATTTTTATCATCTTCGTCAGTTGCCATATTAGATTGAATAAAACATCAAATGAGAGTTTATATCTTGTACGGTGTCGTGGGCAAATCTTGCTACACAGTTGACCAGTAGACTGAGTACGACTACTGAATTTGAGTGGGGTGTGTGGAAGTGCATGTTTACGAAGGGGGATGAGGGGATGTCAAAGAAGAAAAATATTACCATGAAGGTGATACGGATCGGTTGCTCTTGAGTGTAAGACATACAAGTATAGAACTAAACAGACCAAACCATATAAATAGTTTTCCGTGGGCATATTTAGTAGAACTAACTATGCTATCTGATCACCAACATTTTACAAAATAAATGCATATGCACAATACTTTGAAATATAAAAAAATGTGGGATTTTTAATAGAATTTATTGAGTGGGGTGAATGGTAAGACCGATCTGGTTGGATCAAAATATGGACGTATACAAGACTACCGTGCATAGATTTAGATATCGCCCATGTTGAAAGCAAGACATGGGAATGGTACTCTCTCGTACATGTTTAGAAAATAACATAAATTACAATTTAATCAAGTTTTTTTGGATGGAAATACTAGAAAATGTTTGTATCGTTAATTTATTAATTTTAGGTGGACAGATATCATTCAATGCACCTCAAAGTCAGGTTGGAACAGGTAATCATGCATTTTTAAAGAGAGAATCAGATCTAGCGAGCAGGCTTACAAAAAATTGTTTCAATTTTAGAATATTTCTGGCTTATGTCATTCCTTTCATGTCTATTTTCTAAAATACCTTAAGTGCACACTTTATTTCAGTAAATCTCGAGATTTTTTACAATAATGTATAATTTTTCTTAAGAATGGTTACCATTCTTATTATTTGGGAGAATTTAAACATTCCATTTTTGCACTTTGAATCCATTATAACTTCACCAATCTATAACATATCGTGAATCTTTTGGGAGATATTGTATTTGAGATTGTAAGGAATAGATTGGTAGGTCAATTGTATATGTTCCTTGTAATTTTATCATACCCCCATAGATCTGATTCTGCCTTTAAGATAAATACGCCTAAATAGTATTATCAAATTGACGCCCTTTTTTCCTGGAATATACAACTTGTTTCTTAACTGTACATCTAACTTTTATTTTATACAGTTCACTTTTTGCATGCTTCTAGACTAAAACACTGTTGTAATTGTTACAGTAAAAAGTATGCCAAATTCTATAAAGTGCCGAATATTCTAAATACATACCGACTGGTAAGAGCAAAGGTAGAATCATGTATATTAGATCGTATATCAAACACTACGAATTAATAGTATTTCTATGTGTCCACAGGGTGAATGTTGTTGTATTGATTTGCATATTTTGTAGCTCAAATAGGAGAGTCGGAAATCAAGGCAAGCTTCAGAATAAAAAATTTAGATTACGACATCTATAAAAACAAAAAATTCGATGAATTGGAAAATGATGTTTGCTTAACAGTAAGTAATGCATTGGAATGACAATGCTAGTTTAATAAAATAGGGATTTTCCATTATAATATGTATAACTGTATTGTATTATATCGGATAAGATATATTCTTTAACAAATACGTCCACATGACTATGGTAATTAGTAATTCAAATGACCATATCTTGACACTTATCTATATAATGTATCACTAATTTCACTTTTAAATAACATATAAATTTACAGTAAACATACAACATCTTATTGTATTTCATGTATAAAAGACCAAAGAGCAAACTTCGTTAATAAAATGGCATATGTATTCTTGATATTTCAGGTAAAAAATTCTATAGAGACTAGTTTCATAAAGAAGTCGTTCAAAGGATGTTCTTTTGACGATATTCGGTAAGTGGAGGGACAATGTACTTAACCCCTCTTCTAAACTATAACAACACCATATGAGAGATATAAAACTTCGTATATTTCGACTAGGTCCTTGTCACACTTATCATTGCTGACATCTGCAATTTTAAATTATAGTGAAAATAAAAAAGATTGGTTACCATTAGGGCGATTGTTAAAATTAAAACCCGCAATTCTGGGATTTTGATTTGTCATGGCCAGTTCCAAGAACATCTGAAATAAATGGTAGGAAACACTTCCACATTCGTTAACATAATATTGTCTTAAATTAAAGGTCAGGGAGTGTGATTGTGGACTTGAGTTTAAAGTTTGTTGAACTAGATGAAGAAGATCAAGAAGATGCAAAGAAGCTAATATTCGATGGTATTCTGAACCTAGGAAACCTGCCAACCACACATTACGAGATTGATACAAATAGTATATCTGTAAATGGTATGTAGTTTTATAGTTCTTCAATTTCGATATTATTTCTCGAATCCACACAGACCAATAAATATATTTTTTTGTCCATAGTATGAGTACTTACATTAATACATAAATGTCCATATGTATTGTGTATCGATAAATTATATACCAGGTCGTTCAATAAGTTCACGGAAAAATGATTTCATTTCAAAGATTTTATATATTTTTTCATGAAATTTGAACATATGTATAAAAAATACTTTCTGATTGATTCTTAAAATATCAGCATCTCTAATTTGATTGGTCAAAAGTAAGGTTTACTATGGTATCTTGACTTTTGGGTAGGCGGGGCACTTTTTACGTCACATTATTCATTAGAAAAACAACAGAATAGTAGGCAATTTATGAGTATATCACATGAATTTCTTCTCCGCTTTCTACTTGTACGTAATATTACTTAATGCAATAGCCACAACTATTGTCCCATAAGGTTTTAGAAATATTCTCCCTCATGTTTAATGCACTGTCGCTTGTATTCAACCCATTGACGATGCAGTGCTCTGAAGCCATCTGGAAAACTTGTTTGAAAGGCAGTCTGGACTGCAGTCGAAAGTCGTTTCATTGTTCCATAAAGTGCACCTCTTAGTTGATCCGTCATCCTAGTGAAAACAGCAAAATCAAGGATTGTCTCAACTGGAGTATGTAACTTGAAGTTGAGGCAGCTTTGCCATCTATTTTGCCAGTTATTTGTGATGGTTTCCTGCACAATATTAGCAGTGTGATCGGATGCATTATCCTGATGGAAAAATCTAGAGTTTGGCTGATTGGTTAGGTTTTAATCAACTTACCATATTATTACTATTTTTGTTGATTATCTGGCCCACTGGTACAGCATTGACTAGCAGGATTTCAGAAATGTTCATGAAAACAATGAACATCAATTTCCCCTCAGAACATTTGTAATTCAAATAAGAACAAACAAAAGTAGGGATCCTTCATTTGCACATATTTATAGATTTTCTGTTATGGTAAATTGTGTGACGTAAAAAGTGCCCCGCCTACATTTTTTGTACATTGTGTGAAAATTTCATCAGAAAATATCAAAAATCTTTGAAATGAGAGCATTTTCCGGGAACTTATTGAACGACCTGGTATATCTCTCATTAACACTCGGGGAAACCTAGGACATTATTGATACCATTATTGCTACCATGTCGGACCTACTGATTAATTTGTTCCAGTTACATGGTTCAAGACATTCATGTAATTGTTAGATACCAACATAAAACAGGCCTAATCAAAATTTAATTCAGAGAAATTATAATATTTGAAAAAACACCCATAAAGAACACCACCAAACCTCAAATAGAACTTATTTTAGCGAAGTTTAAGCAACATTAAAATATGTTTAATTTAGGAAAACTCATCGAATCGAAAGAAATGACAACACCACCAGTTTTGAAACCGCCGACGACTCAAGTCACAACAACCAGAAAAGAAACTGTTATTACAGCGGCTCCAACAACAACCGAAACTCCACCAACACAATCCCCAACAAAGGCTCCTACCTCACAAGCTGTTCCAACAAAATCTACAACAACAAAAGCTCCTACAACAAAAACTTCCACAACAACAGAAACTCTTTCAACACAACTTCCAACAAAAGCTCCTCCAACAAAAACTCCCACAACGCAAGCTCCTTCAACTCAAGCTCCAGCAATAACAACAGTACCCACTACGTCTACACCAAGCACAACGACAACTACATTCCCCCCAGTTACAACTACAATCAACAATGACAGTAAGCTTTAGTGGACCAGTATGGCCTAATAATTCGTTACCTTCGTCTTGTGTTTTGAAAAATGGGAACAAATTCCACTAAGTTTTAAAACTAGCAAACATTGGATTTTAATCTCTCTTCTTTTCAGTTGTTGGACTAAATTGCGATTTTGGGGTGGATCAGTGTGAGTATAGTCTTGTGGACGGGGAGAAATTTAAATGGGGATTCGAGAATCTAAAAACTGGTACAGCCAACACTGGACCTGACAAAGGCCATACAGCTAACACTAAGGATGGAGATCAATATATTTTCTTGGAAGCATCGTCCGTACCCGATGATGATACTGCATATATGGTGAAGCGTGTAGACCTGAGCAGACCATATTGCCTAATTTTCTATTATTCTATGTTTGGTGACCATATGGGATCATTATCTTTGAATAGTGTGTAAGTATTGAATGGAAGCACCGAATGAGATCCTTAAAGAGGTAGTGTCTGATCGGAACACAACTGGAATACCGCTTGATTTTGTTGCATAAGATGTAAAACAGCAGGTTCATCCATCAATTTTCCAACTGTTAGATACTGACCCATACGTTTACGGTGTCAATTTTATCATTGTACGCAGAAATGAATTATATGCTAGACGATCGGAATTTCGAAAATAAATAATTAAAACCGCTCTGAATCTGATTGGCTTTCTGGTTTAAAGTTAAGTGACAACCCTCGTGTTACGTGATTGAAATTTCCTTTTATTGCGTCTTGGTTTTCTGCCGATTTTCTCAATATATCGGCATTACTGCGCGCATAACTTGGTCTCGGGATATATCTTAGCTATGTAATGTTGTATAATGCAATCATAATGGGACATCACTGATTGTCCGTGAATAATCTAAGAGACAATACATCTTCAAGTAAATCTTACCCATTTAGAAGCATTTATGAATTCGGGAAATTTGAATGGAAAGCTTATTTCATAGCACATTGAAGCGTACCCTAAACTAAGATGAAACCTTTTTGAAAACAATTAAACTCGTCTTTTTGGTTTCAAAATAATGAAAATATAATGAGTGCAAGTATGGCCTCCAACTCTTGTGATACAATATTGAATGATGGATCAATCGGCGTTGTAGAAGAAAGTCTGATAACCTCACCCAGGAGCTGTGGAAGATGGAAGGAGATCAGGGTAAAGGTTGGCATCTTGCTAGTGTAACCCTTCCTGCCGGGGGATATGATGTAGAATTCATGGGTATGCGTGGACACTCCTATAGGTCAGATATTGCCTTAGATGACATCACTGCTCACATTGATGCATGTTCTTCAGGTATTAAGACAACATTGACAGCTTTGAAGAGAACAGTTTAGTTTATATTTACGTATATCTCACATATTCATATGTGTTTTCGTAAAGCTGTTGTACTCTCATTTTCCCATTTAGAATTTAATATGTATATCATTTAAATAAATCTATTATCTTTATTTTCTTAAAACTCTGGTGAGGGACCGGGAGAATCAATAACAGTGCATAGACTGACATTGAACATAGCTTATTACAAAGTATATGATACATTTTAAATTTGCAGATAATTTCACTTGTGACTTCGAAGGTGGTGGGCTATGTGGTTGGCACATACCATATGGTGTCATCGAGAGAAAACAGGGGATAGACACAACATTAAGAAATGGATATGGTAACGTAGAATTCGAATTATGAATACTTTCATGGGTAGAGCATGTATCCTTACATACTGAATATCCTGTATTTCTACCATTCTTTAGTTAAACTATAGTAAAAAGGTATGAAATATAATTATTTAAAACTGTTTGAAGGAATTTTATATCATACCATTTAAGGTCATCTAGTAGAAACAGCGGGTCCAGTTCTGATTAACTCACCACCGAGTAATCAGGGACCCTTTATGAACAAGCTCAGTCGTTCTTGCATGAGCTTCACAATAAGAATGGTGTCTGGGTCCGTGACCAGAATATATCAAATATTCAAGGGCGTAGATGGAGATGGAAATTTAGTTTTGAACAAGAGGGAGTTTTGGAATGCGCATAATCTTTTACCTGGTGCTTGGTATAAGGTAATTCGATTTTATTCATCAAAAGAATATTCGAATGCTACAAAGAGAATTTTGATTGGTATTAATCAGAACTTTTAACCACATGCTTCGGCAATTTACTGTAGCTGAAGATTATGAACTGAAAAATATGCATACCATTGTAAATTCCAACTGGAATATGAAAGCAAGTGTGAAATAATATTAAAATATTTCTTTTATAATTTGCACTATTTTAAAAAAAAATCGTTATTCTGTTATCGAGATGTCATTGTTGACCCCTCTAAAAATGTCATTATGTAATAGGCAGAAGTTGAAATATTACCAGGGGAGTTCTATGTAGAGATGGATATCGGTGGAGCTGGTTTTGGTTTGGATGACATACGAATAATAGATGGCACTTGTGCATTTCAAGGTATATCTAAAATGTAATTCTTATTGGTTAGGTCACATATGCATTAATGAAGTTCGATTTATTAACAAGTATATGTTCATGTTTTGTAAACGATAGAGCATACCACTCCTGATCTATTGGATAGACCACTCCTCTGCAATATGCATTTCCGTTATCACCAGTCCTGACTTATGAGAACAACTATTGTTTATATAATTGATAATATAATTGCATCGCATTCTTGATTTTGCACCAAGCTTTCTATGCACGTTCCCTCACCATTCTGTTCTCCAACTCTGAGGTGTATAAAATTATATAAGTTGTAGGAATCAGGGGTCGTACATATACTCTTTGCTTCAGTCTAGTATGCAGTAGTTAGTTAGGCATCATAGCGTATTTGATGTACAATCAAACGTCTTGTCCATCGCATGCATTTCATGACCATAACAGGCATACAGTTGCAAAGGGTTATGGATTGGGACGAGGGTTGTCACCAATTCATGAGATATATTGTGTAAATCCGTTATTAATACAACTAGATCGTCATCATCAAGTAAGAACAAAACTAGTCTGCTGCATAGCATACGCTGTTGACATGTTTTACTCATAATAGAGTGTATTTTCAGATTGTAAAGATGGCATGTTCAGATGTGAAGGAAGCAACAAATGCTTACCAAATAAATTGAAATGTGATCACATCTATGACTGCAGCTCTCATTCAGATGAGGTTAATTGTCCTAGTAAGAAGTTTAAGTATATGTTTTGCAATATCTATATGTTAGTTCCAAGTGGTATTCGATTATTGTCCAGAGTTTGCATTGTTTGATCCACAGTATACATTTTCCCTTGGAACAGTCTCTCACGAGCTTTAGATAAAGAGAAACTGACAAATCAGAATTGTATTTGTCTTTTCGATTTATGCGTATTTTTATTCCTTCTAGTATTTAAGCTGGTACGTTTGCTTGATGCATGTACCACATGATATCCGTTTGGTTCAAGTTATTATTTCATTGTTCTAGTCAGTAAATGTATGTGAAGGGGCCCCATAAATGCACTTGATGAAGTTAGTATTTTTGATTTTTCTAAACTAGACTAATCGTGACATTGTTGATTTATAAAAAATATTATTTATAGAAAAACTGTCCATCCTTCTTCTTCACTTGTACTTAATTACGATTATCTATATTTGCTAAAATACCGAATCTTTATATTTCAGGACCATCTAATGAAATATTTCATTGTGACTTTGAATCGCCCACACAACCAGACTGTGGCCTATTTATTGAACCAGCTGACCAAACTTACGTAATTGCTGATATACAAGGATTAAAACCGCCTGGGGGCGAGGGGGCAACTCCAGGACCTATGCGGGATGTTACAAAATCTGGAGGTAAGATAACAGGATTCCTCAACACAATACCAGCGTTTTGTGCAATGCGTTCAATGTAAGTCGAAAAATATATAGCAACATTTTAAAAAGCTTACAATCGGTAAAAGGATTGGGGGATAAAGGTTCCCTCCGTCCGTCTTTTCGTTCGTGCGTCTGTCCGTTGGCCAACGATTGTTTATAGTTTATAGGTTAGTGAACTATTAAGCCAATAACTATGTATTATATTTAAGGTATGGAGTTATATATTATAAAACTGTGGTAATCTATATGTTTTTGAAGACCATTGTACGTTATGCTGTAAACATTTGTAAACCATATTGTTAGAAAATCCTCATACATGGAGATGAGCTGTTAAAATAGTACCTATTTGTAAAATGTAAAAGAATTATATGAACATATGTGTATATCATGTATATGATGTATGTGTAAGATCCAATAAATAAAAAAAAAGAAAAAAAGTTTATAGGTATATGCCCTGTGTAAGTAAAAGTTCTGCTTTTTAGCCGATTTTTAAAACGGTCTTCAGTTTCAAAATTTCAGCCATTTTAGTGTCAGTTTTACAGATTTTACGTACATAGAATAAAATATGAATTAAGTTTAAAATCTATTTATTTTCCAAAAACATAACGGCTATCTTGAAAAATGGAAGCCGATTTTTCCTGTAACTGGAAAAGTAGTGGAGTGATTTTGTTCATGTTTGATATGTGAATTCTCATAAGCATGGTACACTATCTTTTGACAATTTGGCTTGTAAGTGGCCATTTAGAAAAATGGTAGACATTTTACGTGTGTTATTTTATCTTATTTTATTGAAATATACTAATAAACGATTCATTGTTGTCTCAAGCTATAAAATGATAATGCTGTTTGTAATTCAATACGTGTCTCTGACTTTAGGATACTACTTGTATGGTGAACTAACTAAAAGTGGATCTGACTACATTTACATAACTCTTCCTCAATTTAGCAACTTAGATGGGGAAACTTGTCTTTCCTTTCATATCAGCAAAACAATTGCATCCAGGAGTGGGAGAATCAATGTGTTTGATTTGGGAACTGGTATGTACGCAATTTGAATAGGTCAGACAAAAAACTAGCAAGGCTCAAGCCAACAATAATATCATGTGACATAATTTTCACAGTTTTAGCAGTCTATAAGATTATTTTCTGTATAATGTTGCTGAATCAGTTGCACCATTTGGCTCATAAATGTACTTTCATGCTAATGATATTTGACAATTTTGGATGTCTCTATCAGAAATGTTTTTTATTCAGACACAGGCTTGATAATTACTCACTTACTTTGTAAGTCATTCAACGTTTCGGGATAGTTATCAGAAAACCGAACAGGTAGTGAAAAACATACTGGATTTTTGAAATGTTTTGAACTAAGATAACAGCGTCCTGTATTGACCTTCACTCAATTTTCCTAGTTTCACATATCATTTACACGACCAGGAACACAATTATTATGGTCAATGATGAATTTGAATATAGTTAAAAATTATCCTTTCGGAAAGGTCATCGAACAGAATATTTTGATTTTTTCAGAAAATTTGCCTAATATATTTCTTTAATATGAAAGCAGCTTTGAAATTTGAAAAATTGTCTGAAACAAAAATTGTGTTCATAAAAAGGAAAGGGGATTGCTTTTCAAACCATTTTTTCATTTCTCTCTATTTTGAGGAATGAATTCAAATTTTCAAAGCTCCTATCATTTCAAACAATATATTGGGCACATTTTCTGAAAAATTAAAAAATCTGTTTTGATGAGCTTTCCGAAAGGACAACTTTTGACTATTTTTCAGGCACTTTTCAGAGGGCTGAAAAAGCTAGACTATCATTTCGACCATGACCATTGTGATCCTGGTCTTGTAAATAATATATGAGAGTCGTAAAACTGACTGAAGGTCAAACCAGAACTTTGTTATCCAAGTTCAAAAAATTAAAAAATCCTCATGTTTTTTTCATTTCCTGTTTGGTGTGAATTTCTTCTACCCAGGTCCCAGAGACCTTAATCAGACCTGAATTTTACAGTAATGTGTTAATTCTAATTTTAGGCGAGCAGGTTGCGAAAGGATCATACGCATATGTTCAAAGGTTAAAATGGTCTAAAATTGCATTTGATATCAAATCTGGTGTGTCACAGCTGAAACTACGTTTCTCAAATTATGATATGCCTACTCATATCGATGAAATCACTTTATCAAAAGGCAAATGTGAAGGTAAAGGTTGAAATGTATTGTATTCTACGAGATCTTCTTTCATTGTGCGCGTTCGGATGGTTTAGTAAAAATGTAATATCCTTATCATACCATTTTTGTGCATATTGAACCTCTTAGAGAATAGTTCTTTCTAAAAATTACTTAACCTTTTCACTTAAATCTACGGGGTTTTCATTTTTAGGTCTTAAGTTTCGGCTTTATGGAGGTTCAAAGAAGAACGAAGGTGTAGTTGAAGTCGGTAACGGACAAGGCCACTGGGGTCCTGTTTGTATAGGGGATCCAGAAATATTAAGCCTTGCTAGAGTTGCCTGTAAAACACTCGGATATCAACAAAGGTATCATGTTTTACTAATAAATTAAGTAAACGGTGTTTTATCCTTTGAAGTAAAACGTCATGTAGTCTGCTGATCATCCACAAAGGTAACCTTCACTTGATACTGACCAGTGAAGCTGAGATCGACAGATTTGCACTGTCCGCTATGGTAGACCAAAGAAAATCACCATGCAATGGGTATATCCTTTGTGGATATAAAAAAAACAAAACATATGATTTAAAAAAATTGTGAAGTTTTCTGAAACATAGCATGCCCCACATAAGCGGACAAATCTTTCGATCCCAAACCAATGGATCCTAATGCCTCGACTTCACTGTCACATCAACGTTCAATTAATTTGGAATTTAACATTATATATTCCAGTGGGAGTGGCAAACTGATCGAAGATGCTAAATGGAAGCCTTCCACCGATGATTTCTTCTACTCAGTATTTTGGTGCAATGGTAACGTCCATACGTTGGCAACATGCGAGACCTCGCTCATTCAAGAATCATCAACCTGCCCATATGGCTATATGAAACTAACGTGTGCTGAAGGTACTTTGCGGCCTCATTGATTAAATGATTTGTTTTAAAAATTAATATTATCCTCAACCTTGACCAGATATAACAACAAATATCTTAATAGGCGATAAGTATAACGCCACTCTTTGAGACTCTAAGCACGATATATCTTGTAATCATTTCATCCAATACAGAGCCAGTGGGTATGAGGCTTGTTGAGGGTGGAAGACCAGAAGAGGGAAGATTAGAGTTGTATCACAATAACACATGGGCTCCTGTATGTCATACAATGTTCAATGACCATGCAGCTGCAGTAACATGTAAACAATTGGGACTTGAGTGAGTGTAGTCCGAGCCATTGTTTTAAAAAATACAATTTCATTTATTTGCTAATTTTTCTATCTGTTGGACAGAGCTAAATGTAAAGCAAATTACGAATAGTTCATCAACAAAGCACATAGGACGTTTAAAAAATGGAACAAACAATATATGTAATTCAAAATGTGCAATGTCCAAACTAAACTACACTACAGGCATACGCCACCTTTTTGTGTTTCTATTCATCAAATACCAAGTTTAATCGTTATACAGAACTGAAGGGGCAACTTACCAACCCCAGTCCCTCTATGGTGCTGGTGACTACGTGGCAACCAGCGTCAGTGAAGTACAATGTGACGGTACAGAGTCCTCTATTAACGAATGTTACATGTGTATAGCTCCTGATTGTGAACCCCAAAGGCCCGAAGAATGCAGAAATGAGAGAAGTTCTATTGGTATAAAATGTGGGATAACAAAAACTAACGTTGGTATGATATTCCAATTAAAACTTACACATTCATTTCGTAATTTGTCTAAGCCTGCATTCCCTGTGTCCCTAACATAATTGTATCTAAATATTGTAACCAAAGATTCGTAAATTGCAGTGACTTTTGCGTACATATAATGTACATACTTTTAGTGAATATATGCAATATGTACAATATATGTGTGAACTCTACATACAGTACCGGATATAGTGAAATAAAAAATAATCATAGACCATAAAAAGACTGAGGAATATGAACGAGTCCCTAAAATCTTTACTTTCCAGATGTGATAGAAACGATCGAGCATTGCACATTTGAACATGGTCTCTGTGGCTATAGAAAGGACGAACCAACAATGTACCATTGGGCAATCCACCTTGGGCTCACACATTCGTTTGAAACCGGACCCTTGTACGACCATACTACAGGGAAAGGTACAGAACACAATTCAAAATACAAATCATGCCTGCTCCTTACTATAATTGGCGTTTAGGTTTGACACATTATTTCATGCTGAACTCAACTTTTATAAATATGATGTTTCAGGACATTACATTTATGCCGAGGCCAGTTCCCTTGCAAAAGCGGGGGATAAGGCTCGCCTCAGATCGGCGTTCAGGACATTCACAAAGCCCAAAAAACTAACCTTCTTTTACCACATGTACGGAGGAGGTATCGGTTCCTTGATGGTAGCCCAGATGGACAGACAAGGTGATTTGATCTTCGTCCTTCGGTAAAATAAAATTTCTAAATATGTCTGCTATGTGATGTTCAAACCAACTGGCCAAAACCATATGCTTATAGATAGTTCTACGAATTTTCTCCAGTGGTGATTGATTCGAAAGCAAAATCCATAGTATGGAAAACATGCGTATCTTCGAATGCATATTTATTTTTGATCTTTATTTGTGTTTAATCACCAAGGAAACATAAAGTCTATGTGGATAAAAAAGGGAGAAGTAAGTCAGGATTGGCAGTTTGGGTCCTTAATGCTTGTCCAGGAAGAGACTGAAATTGTCATCGAAGTAGTGAGAGGTATAGATTACCGAGGAGATATTGCATTGGATGATATATCCATAATGGATGCTGATCACCCTGATCCTCCAAGTAAGATACCGATTTATCAAATTAGCTATTTCTCTAGTTAAAAGTCACTTGATATCAAACAAAATATAGAGTGATCAGAAAAAGGAGACCATTGAAGCAGGCAATATCTCCTAAAATTGACAGGTTTCATCGATGAAATTTTGCAGACATCAGAGCTTCTTTAAAATTAAATTTGTATCGGAATGCCATTCTTCCATTATAACTTCTGCAAATGCCACATTAGTTCTATTGTTTATTAATGATTTTGTTGATTATGTTTTGTTATAGTGTGTAATGCATTTGAGTGTGCCAATCAGCGGTGTGTACCCCAACATTATGTGTGTAATAACAAAGATGACTGTGGAGATGGTACTGACGAACACCATTGCAGTAAGAAAGAATTTAGATCATGCTGAACATCTTTCTTGCCTATGAATTCTAACTTTTCAAATTTAAAAACCAGTTTGGATGCAAATGCCCTTTTTGGACAAACCAAATGAGAGCTTATATTTATGTTGCACAAACCTCATGTTACAATTATAACACAACCCTAGAGTTCATAGTATACAGATGTGGGAACCACAAATTTTTACGGTTATTATTTTCATCTAATTTTACTGCATTCTTTAAAAATGTTGAAATGATGGAAAATGAAAAATAATACATTAACAAACAAACGTTATTTTTAGATTGTTCAAGTGAAGAATTCAAGTGCTCGGATGGTACTTGTATCCATAAATTTTACCGCTGCGATGGTATAGCTGGATGTAGTGATGGGTCAGATGAGATTGGTTGTGGTAAGGGTACCTTTTAACTAAGTAATAGATTTTGTATGAAGTATGAATTTGCACATGAAGGCAGTACTGTTTCTCTTGACACTGAATGCAATGGGATCTTGTATGTTTAAGTGTGTACCGGCGACGAATTCCAGTGTGGTAAAGGGGGATGCATCCCAGACACAAAAAAATGTAACAGAATTGCCGATTGTATTGACGCCTCTGATGAAATAGGTTGCGGTAAGACACATTTAATCTAATACTTGACTATACATAGCTGAACATCAAAGAACATTTTGATGTATTATTGTGATGTAACACTGCATAATCATCGTGAGATATCACAGCCTTCTCTCAGTTTCCTTCTAGAACCTGTGCATAGCAGAGATGGTCTGAGTATCAGAATGCTGAATAATATACTTTGTGTCAACAATGCGCGCCAACTGAATACGTTTATTTTGATAAGATTAGATGATGCCATTACTATTAAACTATTATTAACTTAGAGGCAAACATAACGATAGGAATTATATTGTAATGACAATCAAAATGAAGGATCGGTGTCGTTAACTACTAATTAATTTTCTTGTATCCTATTTTTACTGTCATAAATATGTTCCATTGTCGTGATTTTATATATGACACATAAGGGTCCGTCCGAGTTGACTAGGGTCCGGGTTTAACTAGAGATCACGGATGAACTATTGTTTTACCACGACTAAAACAAAATAGGGTGGAGTTGGACATTATCCGATTAATATTTCACGCATTTGTTTCTCAGAATCATTAATTATCAAAGCCGATGTCCATCGAACTCCTAGTAAAATGAGATACAATAGAACATTGTTCCGATATGTAGGTAGGTAGGTAGGTGACTTTTTAGTAATTCGATTAAATGCAAATTATATCATTACGTATTGCGTATTTGTGTAGGTGATATTAGTGAAAAACAATTTTCAGTAGGAAATAATAAATATTTTTTCTCAATTCCGAATAATTCAATTAATTCTCACGAGGGAATAAACAGACAATAATGCCAAGACTATAGATACTGTTAACGGCATTTAGAGTCACTCGCATTAGATGAACATTTAAGAACAGTTGAACAAAATTCAGTTAAAAGATATAAATTATTTACCGCCTCATCTCTGTTAAATTAACATTAACGGATACTTTCGAACGTTTGCTATTATCAGGAAAAACATTAGTAAGTGAAGTTAATGGAAATGCATTATTTGTTATAGATTGCTTTCAAATCTATCATCACAGTCTCATCATCAGAGGACCACTAGTTCATTTTAATGAATACATAAAGCACACTAGGGTAACTATATAAATCAAAGGAAGTGAGGAGATCATATCAAACAAGAACGATCATATTCGCGCATTAAGCAAGGTATTAACTTTAAGCAACATAATCCATATTGTTTCCTCTGGCGATATGGTACTCCCAAAGAATCTCGTGACGCTGTTTGCAGTCTTCGGCAGCATCATAATCAAAAGTCATCTGTTGGAAGTTTGGACAGTAGTTGCAGGGACTGTTCTTAATGACCAACAGGATGACGCTATTACGGATGCTAATGAAGTAACAGCCCCAAACGTAGCTCTTGAAGATAAAACTCAAGTGGCTGAAACTGGAAGCGCTAGTTATACAGGACGACCACACAATATGACAGGGCAACCATACTATGCGACAATGTGGTCAGCGCTCGATGATGAAACGAGTGTGGCACCAACAGCTCTATTCATCCCACCTCCTGTTATTCAGGTGTATACTCAATCCATGGAATTTACGATATGGCCTCCTAGTCCGTGTAGCAATAGCTTGGAACTCGAGAGGGCAATGAATGACGTCGCAAATTGCACCGAATTACAACCTAACCAATATAGGTGTGCCGGACATTGTGGCAAAAAGACAGAATTCCCAACTACAAGACACTGTGCCTGCGACGAACACTGTATCATAAATGGAGACTGCTGTGAGGACTTTGCATGGGCATGTCCTACAGAGGCAAATATACAGCAAGGAAATGTAGCACGGGAGTTAAACTGTGTAAAACTAGATGGCATGGATAGGTACGCATCAATGGTGGTGGCTTGTGATGATCACAACAAGACACCTTGCTTTCCAAATACAAAAGGCGATACTACTAGTATGAATCTGGATAACAACAATCCGGTGTACGATCAAAATACAGGTCTTAACTTTGTCAACTTGAACTGCGCTAAGTGTAACAATGTTAACATGTCACACATCAATATATGGCCTACTTCAGTGAGATGCGAAAGGTCGGCCAAACACAAACTCACATCGATTGAGAAACTAAAACGTTTCATTTTAGAAGGTCGTTGCTCGTTAAATATAACATTTCCTGTTGATTTCGGGCGAGAGTGTTGGCCTCATGTAGCTGAATGTAATCAGTCAGTGTGCATGTCTGACAGACTAAAACAGCTGTGTCGTGAAGAACCAATGCAAATGTATGGTATGGAAAATAAGGCATACAAGAATGAATATTGTGCCATGTGTAACCTCAACAACGGATGGCGAATGATGCAGAACAGATTTTGTTCAGTTGAAATATATCGAACGGATAATAGAGAAGTTGTTGAAATAGGATCGTTTTCATTTTCCTTAATTATGAACATTAACCCAAAGGCAAATGATGTTTTAAGTTTTGGATTTACAGTTGATGGAAATCAAATAGATGCTAGATGCGCCAATGTTGAAAACTGTACAGCCGTGTGTAAGAGTGGCTTTGTACTAAGAGACAATGCTTGTGAGCATGTGTACACACCTTTTAATGTCACTGCAACACTGGAATACATAATAGCTGATGATTTTCAATTTTCTAGTCGAGCAAATATTGACTTTATTCAAAAAATGGTAAATGAAGATGTATTGGCTGAACCTTCACTTATTGGAGAACTGCAAACGGACGTGTCGTATATGTTTTCGAATGTGTACGATCACACTAGCAATACCCTCAATGGTACATTTTCAGTGGAGTACACTGCAAAGATGCCAGCTGATTACACTAGTAGTCGTGCTAGATTTCATAATGAGACATTCAATAGGCTGAAAAAAGATTTCGAAGAATTATTGAAATGGTCAGCTCCAAGAACCTGTGAAGTCATTTCCCTTTCTGCTAAACTCCTAAACTATTCCACATATCTTAAATGGCAAACAAACACTGTAACATTTCAACGCAGTTCTTATGGCATTGAAAAAGCTACACTTGATTCAATCAAAGTAATGGGTATTCTTTCTATCATATGTCTCACGCTGTCAATTATATGTTTATTGGTGCGTATTGTTCTCCAGGTGTCTGTTACGGTGTTTCACTCGTTCCCAGGCAAACTCCAATTCTGCCTCGTGGTGTCGTTGTGCACCTCTAGTGTGCTTTATCTGCTTGGACCTTTTGTAGAGACAGTCCCGGAATTGTGTAAAGTCATTGCCATACTCATCCACTACGCATACCTGGTCACATTCATGTGGATGGGGGTCATTGCGTATGACATGTATCGTACGTTTAGTGTTTCTGTTCAGATATCAACTAGAGGTCAGAAGCAACTTGTTCGATATTGTGTGTTTGCTTTGACTCTCCCTGCAACCATAGTAGCTGTAGCTTTAATTATGGATAGTGTGGGCGATGATGGTTCATTTAAACCAAAGTACGGTGCATATGTATGTCAAATCACAAATCATAAAGCCAACTTATTGTTCTTTGCAGGGCCTCTAGCATGTGTTATTCTGTTCAACATTGTCATGTTTACCATGACAATAATCGCGTTAATAAAATCTTGGAAACAATCAAATCTAGCCAGAAATGATGATGGATATCATTTTGATGTGTATTTTAAGTTGTTTGTTATCATGGGATTTACTTGGATCTTTGGATTCATTGGACCATTTGTACACGAGGCTTTTATGTATGTATTCATCGTGTTGAATGCTTCTCAAGGAGTATTTCTATCTGTAGTCTCGGTCTGTACAAAACAGGTAATCGGGGAACTCACGAACTGCAATTTTTCAAAACGTTCGTATCAAAGTGGGCAAAATACAGAATTGACGAAGATTTAGGATTGTATTGACATTGAGAGTTTTACCTATGACAGTCACAGTATCAAATACCTTGTGATAGGGTGCATTGAGTAACTTACATATTTCATTCGAAAATGAAAAATTTAATTACGTAAATAAATTGCATTGTAAAACTGTAAAGTATTGTAGCTTTTATTACTTTTAGTAGTTAATTCCTCTTTTTCCAATAAAAAAGTCAAAGACGGCTCCTTTCAGATATAGTAGGGAATCTACCCGGTCTTGCATTTTTCAGAACATTTCAAATTTTGATAAAAGTACCAAACAGTTGAATTTATCAAAATTTTCCGAAAATTAACTTAAGTATTTTTCAAAATGAGAAATTGGAATGGTTTGGTTAATTCGTACATTGAATAGGATGCACTATTGTACATCGAGTTCTTGGATATCAAAATACGATTGAAAATCGGATGAAAAGACTAGGTTTGGAGAAGTTCATCACTCAGTGATCTAATGCACGTTACGCCTGCTTTGGACAATTTTGATATTTTTACATATTGTAGATTTAAATGTCCTCTTTTGGATATCCATGAAAATAATTTATATATGTATTTTATACTGTTTTTGTTAACATTTTTATTTTTCGTGCAATTGTTTTTGTTCCTTTTTACCAATTCTTGAGAATGAAATAAAATATCTTTGCGAAGCTTGTTGGAAAAAATAGCATATGCAACATATATCTTAGACCTCTCAATATTATAGTTATACAAAGTAAATTTTGGTTGATTTAACAAAACAAAAAGTATTCAAAAATTAAAACAAAAACCCCCAAACCCAAAATAGATAAAAAATTAAGACAACCCTTTTATTTCATTAACAAGATACTTTTTTAGATCAACCAAACTTTCCTTTGTTCAATTACAATATTGAGAGAAAATTTTCAGAATTTTTTGATTACTGGAAGAGAAACGTGTGTCCAAAAAGTTCACCATATCGATACCCATCCTTTGTACATATCAGATTCAAGAAATATGTTGATATGTTCCAGACTGCACCCATGGGTTTACTTGTGCTAATAACCAATGTATACATAAAAATCTGAAATGTGACAGACACAATGATTGTATGGATGGATCAGATGAATTGAACTGTGGTGAGTATGATAAAATGTGTATTTCCTAAATGTAAACATAAAGCATAAACGAGAATGAGCAGTCTACCCCCACCCTCTTCCAGATCCAACAGTAGTACACACATATTTGAAATGTCAATAATATTTTCTAATACCCTTCACTTTTCTGGAATATGATAAGGCTGATGATGGTTTTTGACGTATAATGATTTTATCAATAAAATCAGTCCCATTTTGCATATAAACATCTGAAAAGCGTCATTTTACAAAATGTGACAAAACTTACTTTTTCCTTCAAAGTTACACATTTATACATTTTACCTTTGTAGACCCTTTCCATTGTAAAATTAAGACAATGTCCACAAGAGTTCCATTTAAACTAGTTTCTTGTTGCAGCTGTACCTTGCAGTAGTGACAGTCAACACCAATGTGGCGACGGTCTATGTTTAGATGCAGCCAAAGTATGTGATGGTTCTTTCGACTGTGTCGACTTGACTGATGAATATGGGTGCAGTGAGTAATTGATAAATACGTTTAAAATATTCAGATTTGCCAACAGTTTGCACATCTGTTTCGTATTGTTGTAATCGTATTGAAATACGAAGACATTCACCCGGTGATAGTCAGAATTCAGTCTTACATTTGGTCACCAAAAGTGGTAACATATTTAAGAAACAAAACGCATGATTTTGACCCATATCATGGGCATTCAATAGATTGAAAGCCCATGCCCATATCAAGAATAATATGAATTAAACTAACCAAAGTAATTCATTATTTGCCATTCTTGCCAATCATTTCACAAGCTTGACTTAAAATTACCAGAGTTGTAAGCTCAGAAAGAATCCACAATTCCACATTGATAGTACAAATGAAAATATAAATGAAAAAGCATGACAACATAAAAAGGGTTGTTTTATTATATACTATACAAAGCATTTACCAAACGACCCCGCTCGACATACTATAATCTAGTACTATGATATACTTTTAACTTCCATATATTTAGCTTGCACTGAAGATCAGTTCAGATGTGATAGTGGTCACTGTATAGCCAACGACTTGGTATGTAACGGGAAAGTGGACTGCTTCTTAGGTGATAGTATTGATGAGCAAGTTTGTCGTAAGTTTTTTATTTATTTTTTATTTATTAATTTTATTTAATTTTTTTATTTAATTTTTTATTTCAGGGAAGAAAAAACATGTCAAAGCAATTGCAAAAAAATTACAATACAGTTACATGGTAAACGTACATTTTGCAATACAGTATTGGTTAAACGTTAGTGTTTAAGAAATTTTATACCATTGGCAATTTTTTTTATTTAAAGGAAAAAATCATCGTATCATTTGTTTAATTTTGCTTCCATGATTTTCCACTTATCGCCAAGTTTATTAATCAATTATAGAAAACGAGTAACAACAGGACACACAAATATGTGCATTATAAGAAATCTTAAAACAATTTTTTTTACATAATTAATATAATCATAATTATAATTATAGAATGTGGCGAAAATGAATTTATGTGCGACAACAACGTATGCGTGGGTGCTGACGCTTACTGTAATTTAGGTTCTTACAGTGTTAGGAACGATTGTGGAGACTACTCAGATGAATCGCCAGGTTGTGGTGAGTCTCAATCAGTCGTCTAGTTTTATAGCCGCAAATGTGAGATGTAAAACCGTTCAAAAAGAGTGATTGAAATTACTGTAACATGGGGTTCACGAGGGCACTGTACAGTTGTAGCATTGCTCTGAATTAGTGCAGTTATCTCATAATACAATTAGTCCATTATTGTATTTTATCATATTTTACCCCTTTCAATAGTTTGGTTTTGCTTCATCAAAACTCTTAGTTAAAGATGTACAGCTGTCTAGCCTTAACCAATCAGATTATCGAAAATACGGTCGATAAAATTAAATTCAGCTACACCCATTTAATAACAGTCACTTAAAGTCCCGGTCACATTTGCTCTACGATGGACGTACGCTTCACAATAGGAAATCTACAAATCGTACTGCTTATCCCTATATTCCATATTGTATGCTATATATTTCTCTAGATTTTTGGAAGTTACGACCGCCGTACGGTCGCCATAGATCAAATGTTACGTTATTGAGGTATTCGTTACATATGTTTCATAAGGACCTGGCATTTATTTCAAATGAAAAACTCATGACAGCTACCTTGGCTCATTTTAATCTTATCAGCATAAAGATGTCGAATTCATTTATCCTAATCAGAGTCCCGCATTGGCATTGCGGGATCCACAGTCTCTTGAGATAAAGAGTGGCTCCGATCAAAATGCTAGACTCTACTAAGCTCTGACACTGATGGTAACGATATTCAGGACTATATATTGTCAAAAAATGCATCTACTTCAGGCTACTATCCAGAATGGCACTTCAAGTGTTCATTTGGCAAGTTTATCGACAAGGCTTTGGTTTGCAATGGTGTAAGCGACTGTCACGATGGGGAGGATGAACTCCAGAATTGCAGTGAGTCATTTTAACGCCAACCACTACCGTTCACAAACCTTAACAAATATCATGACATACACGAGTCTGGGTCCGACTATGACTTGTCCTAAAGCTAGATTAATAAATAGTATTATTTCAAATCAAATGATAAATGGCGTTTGAAATTCGGGGAAAAATCAGAGGTTTAAAGTACGAATTCGATTTATTTTCTGGTTATTTTTTCCTGCCTTTGCATTAATTCATTCGCATACTCAAAAACGAATTAAGATTTAGTATTCATTCCAGAAATTATTGCATTTAATTGTCTCAAATCCATTTCCATAGCATGTCGCGATAACGAGTTCAAGTGTTCACATGGTCAGTGCATACGGGAAGAGTTGAGATGTGACGGTAGACATGACTGTAAGCAGGCAGATTACAGCGACGAGGAAGGATGTGGAGGTACATTATTCATAATAATGTATATTTCTTAGATTTGCGGTAGTTGCACTGCTGAATTATTTTAAACTACTCAAGCTACATAAATGCAATTCTGTGATATAGATAATGTTTGCGAGGGAAAGTTCTTGTGTGGCAATGGCAGATGTATCTCCAACTATTTGGTTTGCAACAAGGAAGACAACTGCTTTGACGAGTCAGATGAGAGCAACTGCAGTGAGTAAAACAATTGGAACTTTGATGAAGCTAGTTGAATTATTTTAGTCAATTGAAATTGTGAGATGAGTGGAGTAACACTGGAAAGTTTGCATTTGGATGTGTTACTTACTCAAATTGTTCATGTTTTGGCGTTTGTTTTTAACACAAAACAAAATACGAACTCAATATGGTGTACCAATGAAACTAATGTACTATATTGGCTGGAAATACGACACGATATCAAACTTTGCAGATAGCAATTAAAATCAAGAAATATCAGTTTTTGAAAATGAGAAAAAACGTCTGCCCGAAATTATAATGATGACATCAAAACAAGTACACGATGATGTACTGGCTTCTTCCATTCTAAGAATGTGATTCCTCCATTCTAAGAAGCATTTATATCAGTATTTGTGTGTTTATAGCATGTACCGATGACGAGTACCAATGCAAGAACTCTACACGTTGTATTAAGAGAGAGTGGCTGTGTGACAGTAACAAGGACTGTCCCTCAAACGACGATGAGGACGGATGCTCAGGTAAAGAATAGTTTCAACCATCCCTAACGATATAAGAAAATATGGTATTTCGTCGTGTATGAGTTGACACGAGGAGCTCACAAGACTCAAACCACAGCCTCGGGGCTATATATTGTTCAAAACATGAATGGCCTTTGCAATGAAAATTGTGTGTAGAAATGCAGATATATTTGATGAACAAATGAATGTATGTGACTGAATAACATTCTCCGAGGATCGCATTATATGTCATTTAATTTTCATTGCTTTAAAATGCAACATTTTGAGGTATTCAATTTCAGCTCATTATATTAAGAAATATAGAACTACATTAACTCGTTGATTTTCGATTCAGTTTGCATGACTGATGAGTTCCCCTGTGATAGTGGAGACCAGTGCATCCCAGATGCTAACAGTATCAGATGTGATGGAATTATTCATTGCAGGGATGAATCGGATGAACACCTTTGCTGTGAGTATCTCTTCCCGATTCTACTCACGTCCAAAGTGCTTTCAAATGGGATATCACCATGCATTAAGCTTCATACATTAATTATGAGAGTGGATGACTTGGAATAACAAACTGAACATAATTGATTTCAGTTTAATCTGTGATTATTACGGATCCAATACCAAAGGGATTTAATTAAAAAAAATACGAAAACAGGGATGGCCACTATCTAGTAACAAGAGGCCCGAAGTATCCATCAGGAACATTTTGGCTTTATTCTAAAAGTGCCACACTGCGTGCTGGTTATTTTGCAATGCTTCACTCTCCTCGAATTGTTTTTGGTGAAATTTTATCAATATTATTAAAAGTCATGCAACACTTATTTCAGTTCAGAATAGCAAGGAGACGGTGGAAGTCTACTACCAAGGTCAGTGGACACCAATATGTAAAGACTCGGCATACAGTGATACTATTGGGAATATGATCTGCCATCTTTTAGATAAAGGGTTAGTTAATACATCCATTTTAATATTTTGCTATAAATCAACTACACCGCTTTTGTAGAAAACTACTTTTTCATATGTAGCAACAATCAATCAATAAGACTAGAGGCCTGTTACCTACTTTCAATGTTTATTTCTTCGCTATAGTACATTTCAAGAATGGCTGATATACCAAGCTGAACAGCATATAAAATGATCATGAGTTCTTATCAAAATACTGTGGAACATTCTTCAGATCAAACAATGTTATTTGTTTATTTTCAGACCTATGGTATCTTCTATTAGTGTTCCAAGGACTACTGATCTGGTCATACTGACCTCAACACCAAAGCATCACTATCTCATCCCTTCGTCGAGGTATAAGTAGTGTCAAATCAGAATTGTTTCATGTAATACTTTTATAGTAATGTGACCAAACGTTAAACTCCGTTGACAGAGAACATTTAGATATACTTATGAAATACCCACCATGTTAAGATGCTACAAAGGGGAACATTTGAAATACAGCCTTCAACTATTTGATTATTACTTAGCTATATCGACTCTATATTTCCATGCTTATTATCAGATGTTACAATTGTGCCCATTGGACATTGTATCATCACTGAAACAACAAATACGAATAATGTATCACTCCACAAATTCACAAAACCTTCGAACTCGAACAAAGAAACAAAAAGTAATTCAAATGGATTTATTTTGTGTCATGTTTTTATTGCAGACCCGGTTGCACACAGGCACTTGTAATCGAATGCGAAGATAAAGGTTAATATTTATACAAATTATTCAACCATAATTATTGCACCGATGTGTATTTTTTAATGATCAAAACTGAGAACCAAATTTTTCTATATAATAGATATAGGCACCACATAGTTGTTGTATGGTGTGATTTGCTGATACACTCACAATCTAGTGGGCAGCCCTAAGACAAGACAACATATGTTGAGTGATCGGTAACACTGAACTAGTGAAGGAATCGACTCAAGTTAATAATTCTTCGGGCTTTGAGCTTTGATATACCGTGGTTGCAAATTGCATTATAGGAATCTGCGGTACTAGATCTCCAAAGTTGAGCTACTTCCTGCCGTTTGTCGTTGGTGGCGATATAGCCGCCACTGGGGCTTGGCCCTGGCAGATCTCACTGAGAGGGTGGAGCATGCATGACTGCGGAGGCAGTGTCCTCAACGAGAACTGGGTAGTCACCGCAGCTCATTGTATTGATAAGTAAGCTCAACAGCATGATTTATTGTCAAAAAGCACAAATGTTGAAAACAACATTAAGGTCTAGAGATATGATTACAAATTGTTCAAAAGTGTAAAATATGAGAATATTGGTGATACTACTAGTGCTTGGTTTTCAGGACCGGTGGGTTGACTCCAATAACTGACCCCAACATCCTTTCCATAAGAGCGGGGACTACCCATAGACAACAACCCGATCCCAACGCTCAGTTAGTAGGCGTTGAGAAGATGATAGTACACCCAGGTTGGGACAAAGAACTCGGGACTGATGATGTGTGCTTGCTGAAGTTAAAGACACCCTTGGTACTCGGTGATTACGTGAGACCTATATGTCTTCCAAAGGTGGAACAAAATACAACAAATCCACGAGAATGTTACGTAACGGGGTGGGGATATTCAAAACCGCTCTCTCAAAGTGGTAAGTACACTGTACAGTATATGCACGTGATGGGACATAATACATATTCATACACCAATGATTTAAAGCCAAAAACGTGTTACTCATATTGAAACGCGTACCATTTTAGGATGTTAACTTTAATCTAAATGTTAAATAGCATAATAATTATTGATTTAACAAATGATGCATTTGTGGTGACCTTATCTCAATCTCACTATTAATTAAGGAGGGAACGTCCTTGTGGAGAATCTGAGACAGGGAAAACAGGTCCTCGTTGATCATGAAACATGTCAGAAACTACATGCTCCTCCACACAAGAAAGAAGTCGAACTGATTCACCAGCAAAAGATGATATGTGCAGGCTATGAAGATGGTGGTATAGATGCATGCCAGGTACGACTTGAATTTGATATATTGAAACCATAGACACCGATGTAAAATAAAATATTGTCCAAGGGAATCATTGTCACAGTTTGTATAATTGCTGCTACCCTGCACCTGGGAATAAGGACAACAAATGCTTACAACAGGATCTTAAGAGGTTCTGGACAAATCATTTGATTCTGGACTTGACATATTTTTTTTTCAACGAAATCACATCCAAGGGTTGAATTTTTATTAGCTATTTAGAGAGTGAGTCCTGCCTAGTATTAATTTCAATAAAAAAGTTAAAATAGAACCCTATTTGAGAGTCAATCTAATACTTACATTACATTGATAAATTAAGGCAAATCCTGAAATATTTTTAAAGTGCATTTTTTATGAAATATTATCCAGCAAGTATTTAAATGAAACGGTCTTATTTAAATACAAATCATAACATGATATTTTTCATGAAACATTTTTCAATGAAATTCAATTGAAGGGTCAAGATAAAACGAGCTAATTTAGGTGAAAACCCTTACATGATGATGTGTTTTCATAACTTCTTTCATAAAATTCCATCAAGGGGTGAAGATAAAATGATCGAATTTAAGTGATTTAAGGATCACGAGAATATGTTTTCTTTGATATTTTCTATGAAATCCCATCCAATGGTCAAGGTAAAATTTTGATTTTGATTTTGATTTTGATTTGGTCACGTGTTCGAAACATCCATATAAGGCCCATAGAACCATATAGGAACGTCATTTTGAATGTCACGTGATAGATCCATATAAGGCTTTTAGAACCATTTATGGAAAGATGAGGGGAAGCCCCTGACACCTGTTTCACGATTTTTATGCACTTCATTATTGTACCGAAGTTTGCCGATTCGATTCGTCGTATTTCGGAATCCTGGTGACAATTTTATACTCCATTGGAGTATTTTTGACCTACTTCTTATGACGGAAATTCCCGAACCTTGTTCGGATTAATCCGGATTTTCTGACCTACCTTATCTACCGAGATTTCACGAGTTAACATTCGTCTCATTCCGGAATCCTGGTGACAATTTTATACTCCATTGGAGTATTTTTGATCTACTTTTTCTGGATTTTGCCCTACTTATTATATCTTGACAACAAGCAAATCAAAAAGTTCGACATGAACGGGTCTCGATCAACTAACCTAGACTATGGAAGCCAGGCACGCTAACCATTAGGCCAACGAGCTACCGATATGAAAGAACAAAAGTATTATATATTTATACCGAGCGTCAATTCAAAATGATCCTCACTTTTGTCTCCACTTAAATACGACTCGTCAGTTGTATCCAGAATAGTAGAACGCCTATGGCGCTAGTGAATAACCAAGTCTCATGTGAGTGGTTCGTATCCCTCCGTGATATACTATTTTTGTTTTATTAAATACGACAGAAAGGAGCAAGGTGTAGGTTGAAAACAAGACGTTAGTTTGTTTCAAAACAGTTTGGAAACATTAATCTCTGATAATTTAAGGTTTTCCACTCCTGAAGGGCCTCTAGATCTATGAAATTCAATAATCCACTCAGTAAAAATACGATTTCTCTGCAACCTGATGTCCAATCAAGATCATTCAAATATATATGTGTTCCTGACACGTTTGGGCGTCCGGGAATAAAATTGCTTGTGAAAACTATTTACAAAAGTGTTCCAGAGACCCTTATCTACTTGGCTAAGGTTTTATTTGAAGATACATTGCCTTATTAGCAGGTAGAGGGGCATACAGAACACAGAAGCAAATGCTATGTTGAAAATTTTCTATATTTCAATTTGAACCTGTGTTTACATGTCACGTAGGCCAGTGTTTTATATGGGGATTATATGTACTTTCCTTGTTTACATGAACGTAAATCATTACATGAAATCTGCATTCTTCTGGGTTTAATCTGGGTTTGTATTGTCTTATTGGGGCTTTTCGACTTTAAAACAAACCCTACCTAAATGGATTGTGTCTCGGGAACGTTTTTGTAAATAGTTATTATAAACAATTCTGAAAGAATATCACATATTTTTGTCTTCCCGATTTCAGTCATGAATTACGTAAATTTCTCGTGCAAACATTGGGTAGACGTTGTCATAACCGGATGCCCGAACGTGTCAGGAACATATAGATACTCGAATGATGTTGATTGAACATCAGGGTTGAGAGAAATCGTAATTTTACTGAGTGGCTTCACGAAAAAATAAGCAGCACTTTAGGCCACCTAAATACAACTCGTCAGTTGTATCCAGTTGGAATCACAGCGTAATGTTTTTAATTATATGGTTGTGCTTTGATTTTACGCTGAAAACATTTATAACTACGTCAACTTTATATTAAAACATTTATTATCTTTTCAGTTGTATTAAAATGTAAAATATGATATATGTCAGCTTATTGCTTTCTGGAGAACAGTCAAGGTTTAAATTGATTATTGAGTATTTGAGCCGATTGAGTATTGTGTTCAGAAATGTATTCAATTTTGAACAAAATACTCGCAGCAAATGTGATCCAGGCATTACATAGCGGTATTTCGAACATACTATTGTTGCTTAACCACGACCTAGCCAATTTTAAAATCATACTCCTTATTTAAATCCAAGTAAACGATCAATGTCTAGGTATTTGGCGTTTGATGATACTATGGCCCTTGGCGAATTATGATTAGATGAACCGAGGTCAACATTAATGTTTCTTGTACAAGGTCATCCCAAGGTCTAAGATAAATATTTAGGTATTTTACGTTTCAAGACCTTTGGACAAATTCGATTCAACGATGTATTAAAGTTAAAATGTATACAGAGATAAAATAGGTTATCCTACACTTAGTGTACTAAATGTATAATAACATGAAAAAATAAATTTGATATTTATTGGCAAAATGAACATCCGGAGGATATCGTTACGATATACTCCGGGCGGAGGATATCGTGACGATATACTCCAGAAAACCCAATATGCGGAGGATATTGTGACGATATACTCCGCTTGTTGATTTCCGCCAAATTGACTCTATTAGGCATGAAATTAATTTTACAATGATATCATACATTCAGTACACACCTTGTAAGTGTAGGATAATAAGAACATCCTATGATTTTTTTCAGAATATCATTTTAATCTACTCGGTGATATTGATATATGCACTCCTTCGCTTCGCTCTCTCGTGCAGATATCAATATCACCTCGTAGATAAAAATGATATTCCTCAAAATCATAGGATATCCTATAATTATCTCCTATCGTTTCCTTGTGTATACGTTTATGTCTCTGCGTAATAACGCAGATGCGAGCAGGTAGTTACCAATCTCACCACAAGGTGGCTCGTTCGGGTCAGATAGCATGGCGGGTATGGTAGAAAGTTCCCTTTAACTTAAAGTACATCTGTTTTCGTGGTTCAATTTTCATATCACCCTTAAAATGTATCTAATAGCAATGCAAATCAAAAAATGTCTAGTGAAAGAAAATGCAATACAAGAATAGATATTTCACTTTTTGTGATTTTGTAACAATGGGGTTATTTTTTGTATATGTAACATGGTCATTTTCACATTTTATATTATTACTGTTCATATTAATCAATACCTATTCATCTCAATATAACAGGTCCCTAAGTAGGTTGTTTGCAGTTTTACTCTTTTAATACCATGTTCACTTTTCACCTTGAGTTATTCAACTATGCAAACTGTGTCAGTTTTATATATCTATTGTTCCCCTATATGGTCTTTCTCACTCACATGTAGCTGAGTTTGCATTGGGTGTTGGCTTGTCAGTAGTTGCTGTAAGAGTTCATGTTGTACATTACAGAGCATTGTATTTTAAACATTGAAGTTTGAAATATACTATTTTATATATATTTTAATTTGAAGTTCGAGTTATTTTATTGCCACCCACGGGCCTTCCACACGCCCATTTACATATAACGCTTTGAAACAACTTTAAAAAGGGAGCAATGTCAGTGTTGTGATAATAGAGAATTTTCGTTATAAGTTGTTTCAAAAACTTATACGTATACTTATAGTTTAAAGGGTCTTGTCGAACTAAAATCAATTCAAATTGATTTTCATAATCTGTACCAAGTGGGGCATTACTATTCCCGATATAGTCAAGCTTCATCATCAACTAGGGACTGCGAATACAATGTCCTTTGCTAGTGTCAATTATGAATACGATAAACTAAATTCTAGTTGACGGGTCCTTGTAGTGTACGATAAACAAGACCCTTTAAAGTGAATCACTACACGAACGAGTCGATCATTTCAAAGTTCTCATGAAATTATAAGGTCAATTTTTAAGTTTTTACGTATAAAAGGGCCTTTATACGCAGATTATAAACTTACAGAGTTGGATCTCCGCATAGTATATGTGTGGACCTACTGACCAGAATGGCTTATTAAAATTAATCGGCTGAATAGGCATAGTATCCAATCAAATAGCTCGACTCATTCATTAGCTGAACTAATTCTCCCTTCGTTATTTCTACAAGGTGATTCAAAACGATCATCTACAAAAAATATATTTGAGAGTAGATAAATCTGTAAAACCCGTGTGCTATATCAGCCTATTTGATTCTAGAAAACACATATGACACAACTAAACATGCTTTACATCAAGGGGGTACGGATGGTATGCCATTGGCCCTTTTTATTACAGTCCTAGGAGATATTTCCCGACGAATTAGAAAATTATGAAACACCTTGTTTATTGGGTTTATAAGTATAAGTATACGTATAAGTTTTTAAAAAACTTATAACGAAAATTCTCTAATAACGCCCCTCATACCTATTTATTACAGGTCGTGTAGACCATTGTTGCCTGATTTATAGCAAAAACATTGACTTTTGCACGTTGATGATGATGATGATGATGCGCCTTTTATAATAGATCTCATATCTTAGAAGCGTATCAGTTCAAAAAATACTAGAAGACCTTACATATTTTGCCATGCACTGCGCCTATTCATTTGGCAATTCAGTTGTAAATTTTATCTTGAAAAAAATAAATCTTCC